CTACGTGCCAGCCATTGAATCGTAAACACGTAGTAGACTGTCTTGCTTTGGGACTCATTCACTTGATTGGAAAACGGGTGTGAAGAAGTCATCGTCACGTGTTGAAAATTGCCTTCCATATAAGGTAGTGATCTTGACCCGTTAAATTGTTTCTTGTTCTTGTTCACATAATGAACAAAGTTTTAGACATGTGTAAGTATTTATTTGTACCTAAAATTCTATGAATTATTCAGTCCTAAATCTTTAGTTAAGTATTAAATATTTATATAAATATGCTTCCAATTACATGTATAATCAGATTTCAACCTTAACAGGTCTGGACGATTTCCAAATATGGAAGTCAAAAACGATAACTGAAAGTTGGTATATTTTCATATACATGAAAATATTTTTCTATCCATTCAGACAACAGTATTTCTACATGTACACACCCCTTATGTTCTTATTCGTTTCCACTCAAACGAATATGAATAGTTCATAAAATAAATAACAACACGCATATGATAGATACAGAAGCGCTCTTGTAAGTGCAGTTTAATATTATATACAAAATATACATTTCCAACTTTCCTTCCTGCCAACTCATACAATCTACAAAACAAAAACATATAATTAATAATAACAAAGATGATAATTGTGAGGGTGGGTTGGTGGGAAAACGTCTGGCTGCACTGAAAAAGAGCCTTCGAATGGTCTTTAAAGCTAAACACTACTCGTAAAAAGGCATAGTCCGCCATATTTCCCGTTCGTCAACTCTCTCCCTACAACCCATTTATAAGGAGGAGATCGCTTATCAGTTCAATGTATTTTGCTGTAGAGATCCGACGAGTGTAGACCAGTTGCCTGTCTTAATAAGTCCTTTGATGGACATGTCACTAGTTAGACTGTAGACAGTGTTTTTACGGTAATCTGTGTAAAGGAGTTCTCCAGCTGTTGTGACTGTGTGGTTACCTTGCATATCAATCATACCGGTGGATATTTTCTGTAATATGTTTCCTTCCATATTAAACTGAATGAGATGTTCGAGCCATCGCTAGCCTAAAACTTAATGTGAGGCAAGGGAAACAAATGAGAAGTTCCCTGTCCCTGAATAGTTACTTCACCTACTTTTGTGACAGAAGGCTTAAACCTTCCATGTTTAATTTTACCAAGCCGTTTGGTTATTTCTTCTTTATTTAGTGTAATTTGTGTGAAAATTGGTAATTTTTGGTTTAGCTTCCTTAGGCATCTTCACGGTATGTAATGAAATAATGATATGGAATTCCATAAGTTCTGTGGGTTTTATTGATGACATCTTACTCTAATAGTCAGCAATAGTTTTTTCCAGGTAGTTTATGTACTTTTCTGTTTTCTTCTGTTCTTCGACCATATCATTTAGGACAGAGTGCTCGATCTCATCCAATTTTTTATTATTGTCAGTTAGTATACTGTCAACAGCCATTTTCAGTTCATATGCTTTATTCTTCATTGAAGCTCTTAATTGGCAATTTTCCTCTTGACATTTTCACTCTTTTCCTCAATTGATCCAAGATTATATTTAGCTTCAGGAATGTCTGTTTTCCACATTGCGGTTATTTCCTTCTGACATTGCTGTAGAATGTCTTTGTAAACTGTTTCAAGGTCACTGTTATCATAATCACTGTGATATTGGGCAAAGCATGTAGAACAGACAGGAACCTGGCAAATATCACAATGGACATCTATATCTTGCGTGGTGTGGATCCTGCATTTTTCTGAAGGAAGTTTTCTCTTTCTCTCTTGATAGAGGACAATCTCATGTATCTTTTTTGTCCTAGATGGCGCTGTTTGCATTGTGGATAGATTCGCTGGTGACAGTTATTGCAGTAAAACTTAGAGAAGTTTCTACAAGATCTCATATCACACTCAATAAAATGCTGTGCTGTATTTGGTACTTGATCTATTATTGTTGGTCAAAACTAACATAATATCAGAGTGTTGGCAAATAATAGGAAAATAAAGCACTTAATAGTGAATTAGATGAAAAACACACGTGTAATCTATATTTACTAGATGAGATTCATAAAACATGTTACCTTTTCTTTGAAATCCTTTTTATAAAACCGGAAAGTTCATGATAAACATCAGCCATTGTAATGTATGACGTGTATCCAGGTACAATGAATTTTACCTCTTACTTTGAACAAAAACACTTGAATCTTTATGTGTAGCCTTACATGCAGTTGTTCTATATAAAATGTAAAAATTAAAGAGAAAAAACGGGTAGAATATCACACAATTTTTAAATAAGAAACGAGTACCTATAGGAAATATAATGTTAATAGTGATTTCTATCTTTACCATTTAAAATTTTATAAAAAGATCTGGTTTCAAAGCAAGTTTTTCAATGTTTATTGCCCTTGTGCTCATGTTGTATTGCTTAACTTTGGCATTCATGCATTTTAGTAAGAAATAGCTGATACTTGTAAGATACCTTTTGAAAGAAGTGTTAAAAATTTTAAATGGATTGACCAAGTAAATAAAGTTTTATTAATAAAGACTCTGAATCTGATTTCTGTCTCCTTCATAACAGGGGAGTAACACATCATGTTCCTATTTAGCTGTGTATCGTGATCTGTTACAAGTAAATAGCACAAATGCTGTCAAAGAAATAACCTAGCAAAAAACTAAAACTTAAACTTACTTTACTTGGCGTGTATGATATTTGGAGGAAATTCAATTTTCAACAAGTTAGCGTTGATTTGAATTAACACTATCTTAATGTGCTAGTTATTATACAAATATGGACTCTGTGTAGGTCAATATGCATTTATAATGACCCAGGATGACAGATATTGACCGAAGATACATGGAGTACATTGATCGAGGACCCTAGCCCAAGGTCGATATACTTCAAGTTTCTGAGGTCAATATCTGTCATCCTGGGTCATTATAATGCATATTAGCCGTGCATTGAGTCCATGTTAATTATATTATATAAATAATAATTTCCCAAATTTATTAGTACAATTTATATCTTCTTAATGTTTACAGAGATAGTATTAGCCATAAATAAGTTGAATGTAAATGTTTCAGATTTCTTTGAATGTTACTCAGAGGAAATTGTTACGGTAATAAATTTTAACCCATATCATAATAATAACGCAAGATATTTATCTCCCAATAACTCAAAGTATCCCCTCTCCCAGACTGAGAATCGCACTCGTTTACACTTGCAGAGGAAATGCACTGACAAAAAAATATAAACACCTATGTCTTCTACGATAAGATACAATCATACATAGTATGCTTGTCTTTATTTTCTTTAGTCTCCGTAATCCCCTAAACAGGGTCAAAACTCTGCTCGCCGAATGGAAAAGTCGAATTCAACCATGCATGAAATGGTATGTGCTAAGTATTCCCGAAAAATGTTCACAGATATCCTCAAAATTGATAAGTATTCTCAGTCTCAGAGTTCTTCACTGTATCTTTAAAATTTCCTCACCTACAACTTGCGAACTTCAATGTTTGTCTAAAGCAAAGTGAAAACGAAACAGCTCGTGTGAGTCATTATTCGCTTTCAGCGGTCTTTATTGAAGAATAATTACTTCGTATTGACCAATCAGAATACCGGATTTCACAAAGTCATATAATATAAATGTATGATATACAAGACATTTATTCACAAGGCAGTGGAATTAGCGGACTCTGCTTTTTACCAAAATCGTTAAATAGAATACACTTTTTTGTCTGTTTAAACTTGAGAATACGGGGGCATCACTGTTTCACAGTAATTTTATTTAAAAAAGAGTCTTATCTGATACTAATTTTATCATATCTTAAATTGTATATACATGTAAATGTAAAACACTCAACATAGCCTGATAATATTTTTATTCACAACATATAACGTAGAGTATGACGTGGATATACTTTTATCTTTATGAACATAACTGAAGAAATATAAGAACATTTGAAATCGAATTCCTCAGACAATATGTTTTCAAAACCTAATATTTTATCTTCGTAATGTTGCAAACTCTTAAAAAACAAAAAAGGATATTTAACACTTTAACGAAAACATTAAGACAAAATAGAAAGTGTAAAAAATTTGACATCTTCCATTTCAGTTTAACATAAACAATAAGTATTTTTAAATTCCTCAGATAATATGTTTTCAAAACCTAATATGTTATCCTCGTAATGGTGCAAACTCTTAAAAACAATAAAAGATATTTAACACTTTAATGAAAACATTAAGACAAAATAGAAAGTGTAAAAAAAAAATTGACATCATTCTATAACAGTTTAACATAAACAATAAGTATTTTCAAAGTCCGTTTTCTCTACATATTATATACAAAAATACACAAATATCTTAGGATTTATGGACTTTGATATTGAATACTGTTCGTTATCTCCATTTTCTCCTATTTTGTATTGTTTTATATACTTTTGATCTTGAATACTCTTTGTTATCTCCATATGTTTTATACATGCTTGAATACTGTAAGTCGTTTTAATTCCACCATGTTAAAATTTCACGATATCTCAAAAAGTACCAATTGCGATGGTTTTAATTTCACGCTTCAAGAAATTAATTCAAAATTCTCATAAGCATTTAAACATTTTAAAAACTAATAATAAATTTTACGATGGGTTTAATTTCGCGGAAAATTAATAAATCGCGCACATAGCGAAATTAAAACCATCGTGAATATTTGCCAATTTACAGTATTTCATTTTGTTGGGAGATTCAAAAAGGAAAGCTACAACTGTCGACATTATACCATTACATGCACTGATTTATCATAAACAAAAATTAAAAAAGAAAAAAAAAGGTTTTCTTTAAGTAAGAAATTCAAAATAAATACACAAAAAGAGAAATGAATAAAAGTACATAATACAGACACTTGAAATTCGAACTTCTTAAATACATACAAAGAACATATATTTTTAATAGTATCGTACATGTAGAGAAATTTCAGTTTCAGAACAAACTTTCTGACAATATGTTCATGGATTAAAATTAGTTCATCATTTTCATCTTCTGTTGACCACCTTAAATATTCGATACACCACCATATGTTTTTGATAGCGTTCGGGAGTCTCTCTAACGGTATATCGTCTTTGATGATGACAACAATGGAACTCTGACGCTGGTTATGGAAGGCGTGAGTAACCGCCATCTGGACGGCGTATGAGGCCCAACCACTCTCCAGAAAATATTCAGTGATCACGAAAAATACTTTTCTACTTTCATTGATACATTTCACTATTTCTTCTGCCTCCCATTTTCCTGGAGTTGAATCTTTATCCTTGAGCCACACCTTCATGCCCAAACTTTTTAATTTTTGGTGCAAATTATAAAAAACCCACAGGGCGTCTTCTTCTGAATAAGACACAAATACATCATAAATGTAGTTGTCTTCCACCTTTCCACCTGTTTTTAAGTCGCAGTATAACATATTCTACATGTATACGGTATCTTCGTAAAGCGGCTACTATCAGAAGAACACACAAAGTAATCAAAATCAACACCACAGAGAAAATAAGCCATTGTCTAGTTTGGCATTCTTTATCAAATTTTCTCCAGATTTGTTCATTATAAAATAAGTGGTTGATAGGCACTCGATCCCCTGCGCAGAACGTTTTATTAATATCAGAAAAAACATGTTTGTGACTTCTCATCCATCGCAAAGACTGAATAGCTAAACAGGTACAAGAGATTGGATTTCCTTCTATGTAAATTGATATTGAACTAAATGTTTCAATGATATTTTGATCATTATTTGAGAACCTAGATATCAAATTGTATCGCAAAAACAGATATTTCAAATTCTATATATATTTGAAGGTGTCAGGAATGTTAGAAAATTTGTTATTGTCTAGGTTTATTCTTATTAAAGAATGATGCTGGTCTTTCAAAAGAGAGAGAGGAAAATAATCTAATTTGTTTCTTGAAAAATCGATTGTAGATAGACTTTTTAGATTTCTAAATATATTTTTCAAATTTGATTTTTCTGTGAAATCTAGATTCGTTCCAATTGCATATAAGTTCTGAATTCCTCGAGAATGCTGAAATAAATCTGAGTGTACTTTTTCAAACTTATTACCCGATATATCAAGAGTTTTTAATGATGGCAAAATAAATTGGTCGATGTATGCCAGGAAGAAAATTGTTTCTTGAATGAACAATTCTTGTAATCTTTCACCGATAAGTTTGAAACTAGATGTCCATCTTTTTACGTTATGTATATAATTTTTCGAAATGTCAAGAAGTTCCAGATTTTTCGACAGTGTTATATTTATATAGACCATTGATCTATTTATTTGATAGATACTCAACTGGTTTTCCATGATTTGTGGATTATTGCAACACACATTTATATTCTTAATGTTTGGCGCTGATAACACAGTAAAGAAGTATGACATATCCACCTTATGTAAATTATTATTGCTTAAATCTATATACTGTAGGCAATTCAATAAAGTTGTATTGTCAATATGAAAATTGATATAGTTAATGCCATTGCCTACCAAAGATTAAGTCCTGGCACAGACATTGATAAGATATTCTGACAACCAATCATCTAAAACTATGATACCGGTTTCAACATCTTTAGTGTTGTCATCCATAAAAATTTTACCAATATTGCGATGCTGGAAACATTTTAGAGAGCGCAAGGCCGGAGTAATGTCACATTTCCCACCAAAGTTAATCGTAACCTCTTCTGTTAGATATGGAAAGGAACAAAACAGATCTTCAGTGACATCACAAAATACGTGTTTTTTAAACAACAAATCAAGGACATGAATTTTGGAGCGCCGTAGTCCTAAAAAGGAAGTATTTGTTAAACTAAAGTCATTTACAATATGAAACTTTAATTCAGATAAGTTTGCTAAGTTTTCAAATGGTGCTGTAAATGAAAATCCGTTGAAAATGTCGATATAAAGACTCGACAGAGACTGAAATGCAGAAAGGGCAACATCCGGGTAACCATCTGACTGGAAATTATTCTGATCAATTCGAAGGTACTTCAGGTTGTGTATACAGGAGAAAGCTTCAACTTCTATTCCCTTTTTATCAAGCTCACAACTAGAAAGATCTAGACTGCATAAACCAGAAAGTCTATGGAAGGTCTTATTTTCGATGTTTGTAATTTTGTTATGATTAATGATTATGGATGACACAACTGAAAACCGAATGAGATTTTCAAACGTCTTTTCTGTTAAAGTAGAAAATCTATTAAATGACAAATCCAAAGTCACATAGCGGTTTCGTAACTTTTGTGGTATTTTTTCGGGGAGTCTGTCTGTATTAAGTCCACTACAGTTCCATAGAATTCCAAAGTTTCCACATTCGTCTGTGTAAGGCTCTGTTGGACAGAGGTATGAAATAACAACCATACTGCAAACTGCAAAAGAAGTTCATACTATCATAAAGCGTTCTCTTTCTTACTCTTAGGTAGATGGTGTAAATGTGCAATAAATATAAAGAATACAAAAAATTTCTTCATCACTTTTTAATCTATGTATTTTTAATTTAAAAAAAGAAAAAAAAACAATATTGTGTTCATGCTTGTACATGTAGTATATGTATTTTAAAAGTTAAAAAGCAATTCAGCATACCCAATTACTTGATTACACGCAACGGCGGATATGACTTGAAGAAAGGTTTTATGTGGTAAATAAATAAGAAGATTAAAAAATTCTGGGAACTGGACTAGGCTGGTTAAATGATCAAATCATTTGAAATTAGAAGAGATTGTCAGAAGATATAACCACATATGTTTCTTTAAAATTCTACTAAAAATACTACGATGGTTATTAAGGCAATTGATTATTTGAAAAATCTTTGTGATTGTTTGTTTACATAAAAAAGTAATCATTACAATCGATACGATTATTCGATTACGATTACCCCATGCTTGCTATCTATCTAGAAATAATCTATCTAATTATCTATCTATCTATCTATCTAGTTACCAACTGGTGTACAGTCAGACAGGGTAATAAGAGGGAAAATCATTCATCATCGAACTGGTGTTTATCGTAATTTTTATCAAGAATGTCTCGTAAAGATTAGCTTTAAGAGTAATCACTTGCACCACCTATAGACTATAGAATCCAAAAATGATTATATGAGATTCAGAAGAAAAAATACACAACAAATATTCTTCAGTTTTTACTGATATGATGCCCTCCAAAGACCCTAAAATAAAAAAAAAGCACATATATTTACATTTTATGCACTTACAAATAAAAAATAAGATTAAAGGCAACCGATAAGATGCAGTGTCATTTTAGCAATTTAGTGATTATGAAATTATAATTCTTTTTAAAGTGTTTCGTTGAACAACTGTTGGAAGAGCAATTCAACGGAAGGTTTTAACCCTCAAAACAGGTGTTTTGAGCTATCTATCCTGTAGTTTGTACCAATTTAACTTAACCTCCAGGATAGAATGCCGGACAACTCGCCCTATTATTTATCAACAAGCATTGTGCAAAACTCTTTGTATAAAGCATGGAAACATAAACTAAATTTCAAATACCGATATGTTATCCAACTTACGTGTAGTTTGTACCTGCCCACTATAGCGTAGTAGACATTAGTCATGGATACACTTTGTACGACAGTTGAAATTTTTGCCATGAATAATGACGGCTATGTAAAAAGGTTATGGAGATAACTAACAGTATTCAATCTCAAAGTCCATAAAACAATACAAATTAGGAGCAAAGTAAAATTACCTGACACATCATTTTGGGATACAGGTAATGAGGAGTAGTATTGAAGTAGCCAGATTTAAGATGGTACAAATGACAGGTAGATGGCATTTTAAATTTGAGACCGGGATAATATCTATATATTAAATAGATAGGTTGGGTATTTACATGTTTTATACTGGAATTTCAGCTGGTACAAACTACAGGTAGGTGTCAGAAAACATATGGTATGAGGGTTATAATCTTCTCTTGAATTGTCTGAACATTTTGGGTATTTCATGATTTTGCTGAAATTATATAAACACATGAATCTCCGTGTTCGCAAACTATGGTTGAAGGTGAAATATTTTATTTGATAAACTAGTAATTATCCTTTTCTGCAAAATTATTTTGGTTTCCGAGTTTCTTTTATTTGTTATTTGAAAGGAAAATTGATAAATAATAATTATTTGTATATTTCATTACACAAATACATGATATTTTGGATGACAAGACGATAAGGACAAATTAAAACTAAATGTCTATTTCACTGATTTGTATTCGCGGGTATGTTAAGGAAGCATAAAAGTCATTTCTAGGGAATTTAGACTTTTTAAAGAAAATTAAGTTTGACAAATTATCAAAACCGCTTATAAACGTAAACTGTTATTTTAAAACTGTTGCATACAGATAAAAGAGTGTCTAACGCAAAGACGTGAAATACCGCCACGATTTTCCTAATTTTTATTAATAGCAAAATTTTCCTTAAGAAAAAAAAGCTATCAGAACAACACATTTAATAAATTTTTACAAATTATAGTTGAAAAACATCTATTTTGCCTTAAAAGTGCTGCTAGAATCCAACTGTCCTGTCAGTAAAAAATTATTCTACACAGACGAAAGAGAGAGAATTTTACACATATGAAAAGAGATTTTTATTATAAATATTTAAACTCATTCTCACACTTTCCAAGTTTGACAGAAGGCAAACTTTCCAACTATACAAAGCTTATGTTTTGAAATATCCTGCTTAGTGCTGTTCTGTAATACAATTTTTGTCAGGAATGACGAGTAAAGCGACCGGGAAAAAATGACTGTCTCAAAAAGAATATAATCGATGAAAAGAAGTTAGCATACCTTTTTAATTAATTAAACTCCATATAAAATTCACAAAATATTCTCATTATTTCCTTTGAAACTCCATTTTATGTATCTCTGTACAAGCCGTCTTAGCCAAATTCTCTTTACACGACAGGATCAATTCCCAAGTTACTTGAAGTACACATATGACGTCATCGGTGGTTGATTTTAATCAAAATGACAGATAACAGTACATCAAAATGAATGCAGTTTATTTTTTTAATGTTTAATCGTTTTTATTTATTTTCTAGAGTTAAATGACATCTCTAAATACTAATATAACGAAACCTTGTGTTCTTGCCTACTATGACGTCATAATGTAGAACTGATTTAGTCAAGGTAGAATATTTTGTATGCTTCCTTATCACCCTTGCGTTGTCTTTAGATTTTGTTTAGATCAGTCGCTTTTCGCCATCTTTACCTTCTTCATAAAGTTCATTGAAATAGATATGTAAAGTTAGCTACTAGTAACTGGCTACAAGTAGCTGGCTACTTCAAATGGGTAATGTTGGCTATTAGTAGCTGGCTACCAGGCATGGGCACGATTACTGAAAAATGTAGTCGATAAATAATCGATTACTTAGAAGAATTTTGTGTAATTGACTAATAATCGATTACAGTAAGTTTTTACTGTAATCGATTACTGATTTTAAACCTAATACACAACTTTACTTTTACTGCCTACCCTCAAATATATAAAAAAAATATTTAAATATTATGTAGAAATGATGATATCCTCTGAAGTTGAATGTATTTACACAGTTTGGATTTGAACCTCCATATTTAATAAATTTTAATTGTTATAGAAATTAGTTAATATTGTACTGTAAAAGACAAGTATTTGAACATTATTTCGAAAAAAAAAATAATAAATTAGAGCTCTTAGCAATGAACATGTAAACTCAATGTACCTTTAAGTATAACTAATAGGACAATTCCATGTGTAAATGTAAATATTTCATTTATGTATATTCATTCTGTGCTTTACATCCAGTATTTTGTAATTATGTTATCTGATAAGTCATATGACTTAAGGAATAAATAAACAAACAACAGGCTCTTGTGTTGAAATAATTGTTTAAAAGATTGTTTGTCTACTGTGGAGTTATTAATTATAAAATACTATGAAGTTCACAGTTCACACCTCATTATCTTCATAATCAGCAATTAACCATGATAAACACATGCTTAATGCCTCTCTTTTAAAATACAGACACTCATTGAAAAAACAAGTAAATTTTGAATTTAAACATGCAAATGATATTGCAAACACAAGCAGTTATGATTAATATTTTCCTCTCATTTTTCTGTAAGTTCCTAGCTAGTACAATATAGGTTATATTTCAGATAGTTTGTCCTTATATAAAAGCACCGAAATCTATTTTTGCTATATATTATTTTTCTTTTATAAGATAAAGTTTATCAACATCTAAAATATGAAAAATTAAGACCAGTATGTCTATAAAGCAAATTTTATTTTTCAAGTTATGATTATAAAAGTAAGGAAATCAACACATATCACTGAGTGGTTTGTATATAATATTTATGTTAGAATGACTGTAAATGATTCTGCAAAATAACATTCATATATAAAGTAGATGTTGGTAGTAATTGAAATTGAAAAATAATTTTACACAAAAGGTATCGATTAAATTGCTGATTACAATACTATAGATATCTTGATAACTTCAGCGCCTGATCATATGCAAAAGCTAAGAGATTGTTTTTGTAAGCAATATCAGTGGATATAAGCGATGTTAAAATCCAGTTACTTCAATAATATCAACAATTGTATCCAAAAATTGCACAATTTTACGCAAAATCTACAAGTAGCTGAGTTTATTACCAAAGATATATTGGAAACGTCAGTGCCAAATCATTTGGAATGGCCAAGAGATTGTTTTTATAGGCAATATCAGTGGATATCAGCGATGTTAAAATCCAGCTACTTCAATTATATCATTATTTGTATCCCGAAATAGCGCAAGTTTAAAGAAATAATACTACCGTAAAACTCGGTTATAGCGAAGTCCTGGGGACCTGTGAATTTAATTTGCGATATCCGTAATTCGTTATATCCGTATAACGAATTCGTATAAACATTTATAGCGAGTTCGCAATATGAATGTTTTCCTTCAAGTATTGCAACCAAATATGCCAGGGAAGCAAATATTACAAAACATACCGTCGATAACTAAGGTTTTATTATGAATTGAATTTTATATACAAATGCTGCAAGAAAATAAAGTTAGTTCAATTTAGCAAATTTTAAATCTTTAGAACTTTTTGTTATAAAAGGTGTAAATTTCAAACTTTCATATTATTAAAGTAGTGGATTTTTACATCGCTGAAATCAAAATGAATTCGCTATATCCGTAAATTCGTTATATCAAATTTCTGTTATAAAGAAAATTTTAGGTGTGATTTGTTAAGAATTTTGACTGGACAGTTAAAAAACCTACAGCTAGTATAGACAAAACAAGTTTGAAACTTAAAATCTTTTTGTTCAACATTCAATCAGTATATTTATTTTTTACTTTTCTTTTAAGTTTACAAGTCCTCTCGATTTTCCTAATTTTTTTGTGGTAACTTTAGTGCAAGATCATGTGAGAAATCTTAAAGATTGTTATAATCAGCAATATCAGTGGATATCAGCAATGTAAAAATCCACCTTCTTCAAGAATATCAACATTTGTCTCCTAAAATAGCATAATTTTACACAAAAGGTACTAGTAGTTGATTTTACTACGAACAATATCTTGGTAACTTCAGTGCCTGATCAGATGCAAAAGCTTGGAGATTGTTTTTATCAGCAATGTAAAATTCCAGCTTCATCAATAATATCAACATTTGTATCCCCAATTCGCACAATTTTACACAAAAAGTACTAGAAGCTGAGTTCATTACTACAGATATCTTTGTAACTTCAGTGCCAGATCATGAAGAAAAGCATAATGCTCGTTTTTATCAGCAATATCAGTGGATATCAGAGATGTAAAAATCCAGCTACTTCAATAATATCAACATTTGCATCCCAAAATCGCACAATTTTACACCAAAGGTACCAGTAGCTGAGTTTATTACTAACGTTATCTTGGTGACACCAGCGCCAGATCATCCAGCTTCTCAAATATATCAACATTTGCATACCAAAATCGCACAATATTACACAAAAGGTACCAGTAGCTGAGTTTTTTACTAAAGATATCTTGGTAACTTTAGTGCCAGACCATGTGGAAAGCTAAGAGATTGTTTTTATCAGCAATACCAGTGGATATCATGGAAGTAAAATTCCCGCTACTTCAAGAATATCAAGATTTGCATCCAAAAAATTTCATAATTTTACACAAAAGTTTTACCAGAGCCTGAGTTTATTACTAAAGATATCTTGGTAACCTCAGTGCCAGATCATGTGGAAAAGCTAAGAAAATGTTTTTATCACTAATATCAGTGGATCGATCAGAAGAATATCAACATTTGTATCCCAAGTTTGCATTATTTTAACACAAAAGGTACTAGAAGGTTCAAGTCATTTACTAGTAGCCAACTTTACTTATTTGTCGTAGACAGCTACTAGTAGCCAACTTTACCCACTTGTCGTAGACAGCTACTAGCAGCCAGTTACTAGTAGCTAACTTAACATATCTCATTGAAATACCGTATATCCGGGTTTTTTTCACGGTGATCTTTTTTTTTGCAATTTTGCGACCATTTTTAATTCGCATAATATAAAACACGTAGAAGTAATGTCAGCTATAATGTGACAATACCATTTTAAGCAAAAGAATCTTCAATCGTAAAAAAATAACTTACGCAAATAAAAACTGTACTAATCTATCCCATTTTCGCAAAATTTCAACATGCGAAAAAGCCATATTTACTTTAAATCTTTTTTTGCAATTGAACATACTCACAATTAAGAAAATATAACATTCTTAGTCCTGTATCTTTCATGATTCTTTCAGCCCAGGTGAATAAGATTCATATTACCTGGATAAAAATAAATGTTACATTCATTTTAAAGAAAAAGATGTTTTTAAATGTGATTCTTTTATCAGTTATATATATAGAAATTAAAGCTGGTTCAAAATATATATATATATATATATATATATATATATATATATATATATATATATATATATATATATATATATATATATATATATATATATTATATATATATATATATATATATATATATATATATATATATATATATATATATATATATATATATATATATATATATATATGCGTGATCCTATTGAAAAGAATCAATACTCTCTAATGACGTAGTACGCAGAAACATAACGTTATTTTTCAGTTAGTTATTTTTATAATTTTATAATAAAAACGTTTTTGTGCATCTGTGTTCGCTAAAAAAAATTCTTATGATCAATATCATTTTCTATGTCAAAAAAAAGATAAATATCGTGTTCTGAAATGTTCCCTCAACTTAGACAGTCCATGATGTCACATGACTTGGAAATGGAGAAAATTTTTAAAACAAAACAGTGTGATTTACTGTTATAAATATATATTTTGAAAACATTAAGACTGAGAGAAAGCCCACAGATTGTACTTTCAATACATATATTGCTTTAAATTAAAATTAAACAGCATTGAAAAACATGAGAAAATGTGACAGCATTTTTTGGTAAAGAATATACAGGGGCGGGGCTTACTGGCGGCGAGATTAAAGCGGGGTCCGCTTCACGCATCAGTGCGTAAAGTGATCCCAGAAAGCGAACGCCGGGTTAGGTATATTTTAATATATACCTGGAGCGCACGTGTATCACGGTCAAAATTTTACTGTTGACCCCGAGCGAACCAGGGAATCACGTGTCAACTTCAGGTTTGCTCTGGTGTTAGGGTCTGTTCGGTCGGTCACCACACTGTGGTTTTAAAACGTTTTAATATCACAAAACTCTCTGAGAACTAAGAAATAGAAGACGTTCCATTATCAGCTGTTTTAAAAAACATTTCAAAGTTATATTATTTATTTAGATATATTTTTTTAATTTTATAATTAAAACGTTTTTTGTGCATCTGTGTTTGCTATTGCAAAAAAAAATTACGTTATGGTGCATTTCTATAACAATGTCCAAATAGCGCCTATTTGTCCTTGTAACACGAATAAAAATAAAATATGTGTGTAAAATATCATTTTTTTTTCTTTGCAAGATTACAAAAAGAAATAGAAGACGTTCCATCATCAGCTGTTTTAAAAACACCCATTTCAAAGCATATTGTGGTCATTAAAGAACTGCGACTGACGTTTTTCATACCAATTGTTAGTCCATTATTTATTCACTGCATTGACGACGGATTTTTCCGCTATTTCCTGATCATGACAAGAAGCACACGGCGGGTGTGAGTAGTCTGCAGGGAGTGCTCACTCCTCCATGGCACATAATCCCACCTCTGATGTTTTGGAGATCCATATTTGCTCTGCTCCAATTTTGTATTGTTTTATGGATTTTTGATCTTGAATACAGTTTATTATCTCCGTACCTTTCATTGCAAGTCAACAGCTTATAAAAAGCCAGTAGTATCTAAATATGTACTTCCTCTTTGTATTTACGGTTATGCTCAATTAATTTGGTATTACACGCGCTGATCTCTTGACTGTTGACTAAATAGTTTCCTGAATTACTTTAAAATTAAAATGAGTTTAAAATAAAAGTTATGTTGTAAACCTTTCCGTCCGAAGAAGGATTTTGATTTAAAAAAGGAACGTTTAACTTCTTTTGTGTTTGTTATGAAAGGGAAAACCAGACAATCGAGAACATATTTTTATATCCCCGCTTGAAAAGCGGGAAGATATATCGTTATGGGTATGTCCGTCCGTCTCTCTGTCCGTCCGTCTGTCTGTATGTTATCTATCCGCAAATCCTCTTATACCACTAAAAGAAATTTGATGAAACTTTCACATAATCTTTATCACATATTGCCATTGTGCACCTCCTACTCCACATTTTGATCCTACACATATTTTGGGTTTTCCGACCACAGCAAAACATGTACTTTGCAATGATATGGGAGGCGGGGGTTTCATTTAGTGAGCTCATTGCTCACAATGCCTCTAGTTTTTCCTGTGTTTAGATAAATAAATTTAAGGTAGTATACAATAGACATGCTTACATTTTTAATAGAACAGAAATTAAAAATTCGTAAGTAAATATGCTATTTTCGACCTCTAAAGAGAAAATCAAGAACTCAGTTTTTACAAAAAATTAACAGAATAGTGAAAATAGAACCCAAATTAAAATATGTCGAAGTGAAGAAAATTTAACCAAACATTTTTGACACTTCAGCATCTGAAAATACATCTAATGTCAATTATTTAATTTAAAAATCAGATGACGTCATTGTATTTTACTTTTAACTCCAAAAATGACCGTGACCTTTATTTTACAGAACGTATTGAGACTTCTCATAAATATGTCCAGTAATCATGTTTTTTTTACTATAAATGGATCAGCAGTTATATTTCATTTAATTAAAGACGGTTATATGGCATGTCATTGTCATTAACATGATCCAAATATAGGGCCTTAAATAACCAATATATAGGATTCTCTAATTTAAAAAAAAAATGAATGAAACATTGCAAGGATTATAATTTTTCTTTCAAAGATCCTTAATTATTTATAATATAGTGACATTATTCCCTTTTCTGGTGTATTTTATAAGAAATAAATTCAAAGAAATTTCATGGGTGTTTGTAGTACCTTGAATTATAACCAGACCATTTCCGTTTCATTAAGCAAAAACTTGAAAAAATACAACGGAAAACAAAATTCTAATTGCAATTTTAACTTCAGGTTTATCCAAAGGGATTGTTTCATTAACAAAAGTTTTACAAGGTGAAGCCACATACGATCATTTTTACACATATTCCCGCAAAGTTTGGTTTGTGCATTTAGTATGAGAGTAAGATAATTCCATGTATGAACAGATGCAGTCTAGGAGTTCTTACAACAGCCTTTTTAGAATTGAAAAGTTTACCAAGGAGGTGAGGTGGGGAGGGGGGTTTGAATTCTAATACTACTTGAGAATGTCTCCATATCAATTCTACATATAACTTCTTGAGAAAGTTCTTAAGAAAAACATTTTTATAGATTTTTTAAACATTTTTTTGCATATATTACTTTGTAAAAATTTAATTTGGCTCCCCATTGCTTCCCTCCCTACCCCAAAGGGTATGCATGATTTGAATAAATTTAAATCTTCAATACATGAGGATGCTTTCATGTCAACATGAGTTAGCATAGCTTTTCTGTTATTGAGATTTTTTTCTCTTTACATTCCTATGTAAAACTTTGATCCACCATTAAAACCCTTCCCCACCCTTGGAGGTTATTATTTGAATAAATTTAATTCTTCACTACCTGAGGATGCTTTCATATAAATATCACTAATCATGTCTTTGCTATTCATTAGAAAAAGATGCATAAAAATATATTTTAATGTAAAACTTGGATCCCCCATTGTGACCCAACACTATCCCCAGGGGTTATGATTTGAACAAAATAGAATCTACTCTACCTGAGGATGCTTCCATATAAATATCACTAATCATGGCTTTGCAGTATTTGATAAGTATTTTCCTATATATTCCTATGTAAAATTTTGATCGGTTATTGCAGCCCCACTCTACCCCCAGGGGTCATGATTTGAACAAACTTGAATGTACACTACCTGAGGATGATTCAACATGAGTTTCATCTTCCCTGTCCCTATGGATCTTGAAAAGAATCCTATGTAGAGAATATCCCTATGCAAAATGCCGTTGTGGCCCCACCCTTGCCTCGGAGGTCATGATTTGAACACTACACTACACTACCTGAGGATGATTCCACATGAGTTTCATCTTTCCTGGCTTAGTGGTTTTTGAGAAGAAGATTTTTTTTTAAATGCAATTAATTTTTCACTTATTCATAATTTATTTCCCCTTGGAAGAGGTCGTGGCCCTTCATTTGATTAAAATTAAATCCCCTTTACCTAAGGATACTTTGTAGCAAGTTTGGTTGAAATTGGTTAAGTGGTTCTTGAGAAGCAGATGAAATGTGAAAAGTTTACAACAAGGACGACGACAACGACAGACAACGGAAAAATTTTGAACAGAAAAGCTAACAGGTGAACTTAAAATACAGGTCATGAAGGCCCTGGTGAAGTTGCTGTGGAATATATACAAGCTATCCAAACTTCTGCTCTTAGTTCGTAAAAGAATTAATTTTTTTGATTTAAGCCAAATATTACAGTACCTTGCCTGGAGGGGGTTGAAGTGGAATTTACTTTTTGGAATTTCCCAAATATCCGGATGTCAAAAAAACTTTTAACTTTCTAATGTGTTGGATACACTCGACTGAGTAAACATTATTCTGTTTAAATGTACATGATCTTCCGCTTTGTTTATCGGCAAAATTAAGTGCATTTGGAAAAATTGTGTCGTAGATAGTTTCATAGGTTCATTAAAAATTGGATAGTATAAGAAAGCAATATTTTCTTAGTATTTATTTCTTTTTGGGGGAGGGGGGTCAATTGTAAGGCTTTTAAATGCTTTACTTTCTTATTGATTATTACCTGCTATTATAAACTTAATTAAATGCCATATACATGTATATGCAACAAGGAATAAGAACGACAAAAAGTGTTAATACTGTACACAAACTGGCACATTTTGCCATTGCATTTTGTACAATCTTTACAAAGAACTATATATGCCGAGTAAATTATATTTTATCATCCCTAAAGTCATTATTCAGAATGATATTCTTGTATGTATAATTGATTTTTATTTTGTAGAAAATTTTTTTTACATGAAATATGATACATTTTGTACATTAAGATACACTCACATGCTATAAATGATGTCAGAAAAGCTATTTTTGCATTCCATCTGACATAAGATCAAAAATTGGCTTTTTCTTGAAGGTTTTTCTAATTGTAAGTCCATTATTTATACACTGAATCGACAACGGATTTTTTTACATTATCTTCCGATCGTAACAAGAAGCACACGGCGGGTGTAACCGGTAAGCAGGGGATGCTAACTCCTCCATGGCACCTAATCCCACCTCTGATGTTTCGGACGTCCGTGTTTGCTCTGCTCCTATTTTATATTGTTTTATGGAATTTGAGATTGAATGATGTTCGTTATCTCCATAGCCTTTATACATATCTGGTAAAAATTTAAGTTTGTTTAAGTCTGCACTTATTTTTTTCTTAAGAAAAACTGCTCGAAAATCAGCAGTTTTATACAAAAATTCTGATTGCCACATTATCACGTGGCCAACCGGTCACGGTAGCCTAGTGGTAGAGCGTTCGCTTCGTGATCGGGAGGCCCGGGTTCGATTCTCGATCGCGGCGCCGCGTCATACCTAAGACGTAAACATAGGTAGCGACTGTTCCTTCGCCAAGCGCTCGGCACTAGAAGTGAAAGTCACGGGTCTTTCGGATATGACCTTAAAAACGTAGGTCCCGTGTCACGGTAGGCGTTGGCACGATAAAGAACCCTCACTGCTCAATGGCCCTGAGTGCCGAGTATAGGTCTAAATTTGAAGCCCTTCACCGGCATCGGTGACGTCTCCTTATGAGTGAAAAATTCTCGAGAGGGACGTTAAACAATATACAATCAATCAATCACGTGGCCATTATTGTTTAATACACCGATTGACTGTATAGCCTGATGCAATTGATTTTTATTGGGTTAGCTAAAAGAATTCTTGTTCGAATTTTTCTTCCGCTTTTATAATTAATTTATCTATTTATTATTTACTTGGGTTTCAGAGTGATGTTTCTCAAGCAGACTGATATTTATATGTGTATATGCATATTTGATACAGACTGTTTTTCAGTTTTTTTAGATGTAAATTTTAATGATTTGGGTATTTTAAAATAATTTTTGTTATGTTGTTTGAAACCCATCATTGACATATAATTGTTCTCTTTGATCTTTAGAGTAAGTAATATATACTACAATGCAAGCAGGATTAATTTTTCAATCTTGATATCTGCCCCCCTCCCTCATATCCCTAGTATCGATGGTGTTTGGCAATTATTTACATATTATTTATTTTCGGATCTAGACGGATGTTATGCTTTCCCCATAACTTTACTGCTGCCTTAAAACTTGTTTCATTGGTTCATTTGAAAATAAATCGTGGCATTTTACTACAGCATATAAAGCCGCGAGTTAATAAAACTATGCAAAATCAAACATACGATTTGTAGTACAAAAATAATTTTTAATTCAAATGGTTACAATGATTTTTTGACTCATATTGTATTTAAAAATAATGATTTAAATAAATTTAAAGTTCAGAATCTTCATTAATTCTTCATTTATTGCTACAATCCTTTTTTTATGATAAAAAAACATAAGATTTGCTTATTTCCACGCAATGGTTTCCAACAGTTAATTTTAATTAAAGGTACATGACTTGTATGACAGATATAAAAACCTTAACCTAAACTTTATTTTAATTTTAATAAATGTAAACTGATTTTTTTAATATTTGATTGCCTTATTTGTTCATTAGATCTAATATAATTGAACGTATTTTTTATTCTTTTCTAAATACAAATGTATAAACTTGAACAAAATACGACCAATTACAAACACGTAGCTAGGTACAATTAACTTCTTTATTTACTAGCAACATAACTTATTTACATATATGCTGTAAATCATTTTAATCATTATTGATAGCCCTGATGAAAAATTGAAATTTAAAATGGAAAACATCAGATTTAAAGTGTATGTAAACTTTATGTTTTTTGCAAATGTTTGCAAAATACTTTAGCAATTAAATTAAAGTCAGAGTCAGATTCAAACACTTAAACGATTTGAAGTGACATTAAAATGCGAAATTTACTGCCATCATGCCATTTACGATTTGGACATATACAAAAATCTACAGGATTCGCAGAATCTGTTGTCTGGAGGTCAAGAGTACAATATTTATACAAAGTCATAGGAGAAAATTAACAGAAAATTAACAAAAAGCAATGTTTCTCTCATTTGAACATCTTAAATATACTTATGCATATCATGTATTTTGTATGACCCAATTCATGTCTATCAATTTCATTTTGTTTACAAACTCTTACAAAAAATAAAATTTTAACAAAAAATGTTATATACTATAGCATGTACATCTCTTATTTAATAGATCTACAAATACATATTTTCTCCTATTGGTATTTATGCAGCAACAGGTTTTAGCAAACTTGATAACTTATCCATTATCGAATCATCATTTTCGTCTACTGTGGACCACCTTAAATATTCAATGCACCACCATATATTTTTGATATCGTTCGGGAGTCTCTCTAACGGTATATCGTCTTTGATGATGACAACAATGGAACTCTGACGCTGGTTATGGAAAGCGTGCGTAACCGCCATCTGGACGGCGTATGAGGCCCAACCACTCTCCAGAAAGCATTCAGTGATCACAAACAACACTTTTCTACTTTCATTTATACATTTAACTATCTCCTCTGCCTCCCAATTTCCTGGAATCGAATCTCTGTCCTTAAGCCACGCCTTAATATTTAAGCTTTCCAATTTTGGATGTAGATAACGAATAATCCAGGCATAGTCTTTTTCACCATACGACACAAAAACGTCATAGATATAATTATTTTTTCTGCTTCCTACGCTCACATCTTTGCATCTATTTTTAAGTCTCAATATGACGTATTCCACATGTACCCGGTATTTCCGCACAGTAAATGATATAAGAAGTATAGTTAAAGTCAACACGATAAATACCACAGAGACGATGAGCCAGGTTTCTGTTTGACATTCTAGTTGAAATTTTCTCCAAATTTGATCATTATTAATTAAGTGAGTAATTAAATTTCTACTTCCTGCACATGAGATTCTACTCAATTTCAAATGGTGTCGTAAATTCAAAATTTTCAAAAATGTCTATATCCAGGCTACGCAAAGACTGAAGTGCAGAAAGTGCAACATCCGGGTACATGTTTTCTTGTGTAAAATTATTATGATCAATTTTAAGGTACTTGATTGGTGACTGAGAGAAGGCGTCTGCTTCTATGCGATTGTTATCAAGATGACAATATGAAATGTCCAAACTACACAAGTCTGTAAATGCCTGGAAGGTTTTGTTTTCTATCTTTGTTATGTTATTGTGATTGAGAATTATGGATGTCACAACCGATACATCTTAATATTGAATTAAATGGATGCAAAATGTAGGCGGGAATCAAGAATTAGAGTTCGTAGTTCTTAGGCGAGCATATAATGAAAAAGGGGTAAAGTAAACATAATATGAAGCGCATTGAAGTGGTAAAATTTTTCGTTCAATATGGATGAAACGATTTAAGCTATCTGTAGAAGCTGATTGACATATAATGACAAGCCCATTTTTTAGAAATGAAAATATCGGCATTTCATAAAATTACATGTAATAGCCAATCAAATGGACGGTCTAAATGAACATTGAGTAAGCTCGTGTTCGACCAATACGTGTGTTTTGGTTGCTACAATAAACATGATAAACACATAATTATGTACAGATTCGATGCATTACGTGTTTTACAGAAGAAGGGACTCTAACTCTGTTATAATTTTAAAACCTCCATTGTAAGTGTAACTGATGGTGCTAGTCACAAAAAGCGATGTGTCCTAAAGCATTCTTAAAAGAAGAATATTTCTTTCTCGTTTCCAAAGAAATGGGCGTGTCGTTATGTAATAATTGACGTTCGATTAGAAACACCCATTCAAAAGGGAAAAGAACACTTCCATGGGCTTCAATGATTGAAGACGATCATACATTAGGATATTTACAATTTATATTCTGGAGGAATATTTACCATTCCATTCCAAATTTCAAAATGAAATTTATCACCAATACTATTACAGTTACAAATGGTTTAATATTCTTTAAATCAGTAATAAACTTAAATTCTAAAATCAAATTAAGTTTTAATTTTTCCATAAGATTAAGATGCATTCAATCCATATGTGTACAAAAGACCCATCGATATAACAATATTAAAAATATGAACAAAATTTTTTAATGGACGCATAAAGTATTGCTCTTGGTGATTGATGTTTTAGTAAATAGCTATAATTAGTTAAAAAAAAAAAAAAAAAAAAAAGGTATTATTTCAGAAAAGAAAAACATATAATTAGAAGCTTACTTACATATAAAATAACCTAATAAATGTTGTCTATTCTCTCCATCACGATTTTGAAATCCATACTTTGTGCTGGTCTTTAAAGAAATATTAATGAGCTAATCCTGAAAAAAAAACAGACTTTCTAGAGTTAATTCCGCCGTCTAAATATTCCGCTCATAAGTCATCAAATACTTATAAGCAAATAAATATAGAGGAGAAG